GACGCAGGCCGCCGGGGCCCTGGATTTCTCCCTCAAGTTATTTTCTGAAGGGGCCACCCCAGTGCCCTACGCCCGCCTGTCCTAACTGCGACCGCCTGTCCTAACTGCGTCCACCTGTCCTACTGTAGAAGAGGATGCGTGATAGGAGCTGTGGAATAGCATTTGCCCAGGACCCACAGGGTTAACTATCTCTGATAACCTGGGTGATCTGGGCTCCACTCCAGCACACCCCGCCCCACCCCACATGCCCCTACTGCTGTGTGACTGGGTGGGGCTTACCTCCCCTTTACCCACCTCCATTTCCCAATCTGTAAAGGGAGTCCAATAAACAGCCAGCTTTATGGAGTCTCGGGAGGCAGCTAATGCAACCAGAGAGTGTCAGATGCCTGATACAGTACAGAGTGTCAGATGCCTGATACAGTGTCTGCCGCCGAGGCGAGGGCGACTCACAGGGACCCTGCAGGACAGGTCAAACTGCCCCGGTGGGGTTCCAAGACTGGAGCTGTTCACAGGAGTGGAAAGCCTCTCTTTCTCCCTCGGAGCAGCTGGTGGTTTCTAACTGCTGACCTTGAGGATTGAAGCCCAATTTGTAACTACTACACCACCAGGGCTCCCTAAGGCCTCAGAGGTTAGAAATGAGCATATTCCTTTTCTTTTTTTTTTTTTTGTATGTCAATGCATAATTAAAAAATTAGTTGGGATTTAATACATCTATCATTCCATCTTTCAATCACGTCACGTAGAATCGTACAATTGCTACCACAGTTTCCAAACATTCTTTCTCTATGTGAACTCTTTAACATCACCTCCCTTTTATGCCCCCCCCCCACTGTTCCCCGCTCCCCCACAAACCCCTTATTCTACTTGCTGTCCCTGTAGCTCCTCAATCCTGGGTTTCCCTGAGCATATTCCTTTATTTGAGGATGCCCAGAGTCTCCCTTCTTGTGGTGCCCTGTGCGACGTCAGGAGCATTGGTTTTGTCCTGGTTCTGCTGGGCAGCTGCCAGCCTGAAGCCAGCGTCCGGCATGCTGCCTGCCATGTTTTCCTCCTGGTTGCCCAGGAGCGAAACGTGGCAGACGTCTGTGGTGGCAGTGGGTCCCGATGAGCTATGAAATGGAAATGGTAGGTGGCAAGATGGTGTGGGTCACCGCGGGATGGGCAGTGTCCCTTCCCCGGGGTGTGATGTGTGTGTTTCCAGTCTGGGGCATCTCACCCGTGAAGCTGTGTGGTCTAAGCTTCAGCTGGACTGTGCCACTTGGCTGGTGCCCAGGTTGTTCCAGCCTTTCGGTAATTGGCCTCTGATCTCTGGCTTCAGTCCTTGGCGGAGGTGACCCTGCACCTCCAGGGTCCCCAACAGGACTCTGCCCTGGCCCCTCCCAAGATGAAGGGACTCCTTCCGTTCTGGGCTGAAGACCACTTAGGGGTCGATTCCAGGGGGTTAGTAACATCAGCTGGGCAGTGAGCAGCCGGGCCAGAGTAAAGGTCTCTGAGGGAGCCGGGAAGGGCGCAGGCGAGGGTTCACGGTCCACCCCCAACCTCTCTTCCTCCATGAGGTAGGGTTCAGGATCTGTTACCTGCAGTACAGCAGTGGGTTCAGGGCCAGTTCCCCAAAGGCAAGCACAATGGAGGTGCTGGCCCATCCCAGGGGCCTCTTCCGTCCTGTCCTCCCAGGTCTTGGCCAACCCTACTAGGTGGCTGGGAGCAACAGGGCAGGAGAAAGTCTGAGGATGAAGGCAGTCCCTAGGTAACTCCTCCCCAAGGGACTCCAGTCTGGGGTGGCTCTCCTCTCCCAGAACCAGCCCTCTTCTCCACCTCCCACCCCCTAATCCTTCCTCAGGGGGTTTCTGGGGAAGATGCCTCACCCTTGTTGTCCCTCCCCAACCCTGGAGACCATGGGGAAAGGGTGGCCAGAGAAAACAGCCAGCCCCTTTCTGGAGAGAAAGTGCAGACCCAGAGCTCCATCTTTCGCTCACAAGCCTGTGCTGTACTTTTGGGCTGGCCAGGCTCGCCGCGCCACGGGATTCCTTTGACAGGTGCTGCCCGGAGCTGGACCGCTACCTCTGCTGTGGCCCTCAATCAAAGGGGCCATTTCTCAGGAGACTCAGCCCAGCGGGACGGCCGCCCAGAGCAGCACCAGGCCTCTGCCCTGATCCCGCCCTCCTTCCCATGGAGACACGGACTCCCCCCACCCAGCCACCTCCCCAGCCTCAGAGTCTCAAGCTCTTGCCCTGAACCCGAAGATTGATGGGTCCACCCCGTGGGAGCGTGCAGAGCTGATCCTTGGGGAAGGGGTGGTGCAGTGAGAGGAAGAGGGGATGGAGTCTATGCAGGCACTGCATTTCCTGGCAGGAGAGGGAGGGCTACAGGGATAGAAGCCCATCAGTGAGAAAGAGCTGGGCCTGCGGGATTTCAGATCTGCAGTGCGGCTGAGAGAGGCGAGGTGCTAGGACATGGCCCGCTTCCAGCGCACGCAAGGATGGGAGGAGGCGCGGACGCGATGCCAAGAGAGGCGGAACTTGGGCTGAGAGGAGTGGCGCCCCTTTGCTGTTAGGATGGGGTCTGCTGTGGGAGGCGCCCTAGAGGAGGTGGGAGCCCCTGCAGGGAAACAGGGAAGGAGCTTCACGCAGCCTCAGAGCTGCACAGCTGCACCACAGCTGCACCACAGCTGCAAGGCTGTGGTGTCCACAGAGTGAGGGGCTGCAGGCAGGGGATGCAGCATCTTCAAAGGGCGGGGTGGGGGGTGGGGGTTGTTGTTGACCACGGCTGTGGGGGAGAGGGAAGAAGATGGATCTCACACCACTCCCTGATGAACCCCTGTCCGTCTGGCTGTCTGTCCTCCCGCCCACCCTGCAGTCAGCAGTCAAAGCCTTAACAGTACCACCTGAAAGCCCAACCCAAACTCGCTGCAGCAAGTTAATTCCCACCCACAGCGACCCTGGGGCGCGGAGTAGACCTGCCCCGTGAGTTTCCGAGGCGATGCATCTTTGCGGGAGCAGAAAGCCTCCTCTTTCCCCCGAGGAGCAGCTGGTGGTTTCGAACTGCTGACCTTGAGGTTAGTAGCCCAACTCGTAACCTGTTAGGCCACCAGGACCCCATCAGAAAACCCTCCAAATTCAGTATCATCAAGTCGACTACGACTCAGCGGGGCCCTGTAGGACAGGCAGAACTGCTCCCGTGGGTTTCCGAGACTCGCTCTTGGCTGATGTAGACCTCTGCGTTCTTCATTGGGCTGTGTAAGAATGAGAGCCTCGCTGCCCCCGGTCAAGTCTGCTCACAGGGCAGTGGGGCAGGCCGCACATGTCAACAACAACAATAACAGTACCCCTCCACGTTTTGCTGGAGGAGAAGCGGGGGTGGGGGGATTGGCAGCTCCTGTGGTGGGCATCACCAGGCTCGGGCTAATAACTACTTGGTCAGCAGTGTGATGCTGCCAGCAGGTGAATGCTAGCCCATGGCATCACCATAGCTTCGGGGGGCCATGAATACTCCTCCTCCTCCCTGCCAGTGAGTCGTTGCCAACGTTGACCCCATAGGACAGATTGCCCTACGTGCCTTCCTGAGACTGCAACTCCTTACCGGAGGAGAAAGCCCCTTTCTCTCCTGGGGTGGCTGGTGGTTCGAACTGCTAAACTTTGGAATTACAGCCCAACACGTAGCCACTGTGCCAACCAGTGGTTGCAGAGATGAATAAACAGTTGGGGGTAGGGGGATGATAATAATAAGGAAAATGCCTATCCATAATTTTAAAAACCAAACCAAATTCACTGCCATCAAGTCAATGCTGACTCATCGTGACCCCCCGTGGGTTTCCAAGACTGTAACTATTTACAGGAGTAGAAAGCCCAGTCTTTCTCCCTTGGAGCTGCTGGCGGATTCGAACTGCCAACCATGTGGGTCACAGCCCAGGGCTCCTGCACTAGTATCAAATCCTATACGGCCACCAGAAGGCACTGTACACACAACTTGCATTCTCGGACGACATTTCCCTGTCTGCGTTTCAAAGGATCACTGTGGGCTGTTGATTGCAGTCAGCCGTTCGACTCACCGGCTGGAGAGGATGAAGCTTTCTGCTCCTGTAAAGACTGACAGCTTGGGAAACCCATCCACTCCGGTTACCACCTACCTTTCTGTCTACCCATCAGTCCTCTACCAACCCACCCACCCAATACCTCAGAGCTTAAATTCTCTGGTGGGAGGCTGTGGTCTACAGGGAAGCCTAACTTCACGTGCGTTTAGACACCACCTGAGTTCTTTAGGTTGTTTCCCTGGTGCTTGTTGGCCACGAAACCCTTGCCCTCGGGAAGTCTGTGGCTGAAAGGAGATGAACCAGGATGCAGAAAGATGCTTACACAGCACTCAACAACTTGCCCGACATGCCTGAAAGTAGCCCGTCGGATGCATGCTGCCCAATGTGCGTTGGGCACTGGAAGTGCTATTGTCTTACAGCAGCCACCTGAGACTATGACTCATGCCCGAATGGTCATGAGACACACCCAACCACCACAGAGCCAGGTGGTCAAAGCCTCGGAACAATCCTGTACCCGTCTCTAAGTCAATTGTTTGTATCCTAATCACGGCCCTTCCCACACTTCTGTGGACCTGCATGCAACAGTGATCAGTTGACTTAGTGATCAATTGACTTGCCATCACCAATCAAGATCTTGTCATCATTTTCTTGTACCCTATACACCAAACACCATGGCTGTGAGTCAACAGACTCCATCAGGTTCTGAGCCGGGTGCGTGCTGACAGTTTCCCTCATCCAGATGATTATGTTTATGTTGTTTCTGGCTTAATAAAAGCATCTCTACAGAACATGTTTGAGTCCCCTTA